AGACCAGATAGGCGGGATAATAATAATAATAATAATAATAATAATAATAATAATAATAATAATAATAATAATAATAATAATAATAATAATAATAATAATAATAATAATAATAATAATAAAAACTTGTGCCCAAATACAGTCTCTGATTTGGAGCCATGTATAAATGTGTAAATATTTGTGATGCAGTCCCGTTCTTATGTCTGAGGAAGTAGACTTGTCCACAAAAACTTACATTAAAATATAGCAGTTAGTCTTTAAGTCATCACACTTTTTTTAATGTTTTCATTTTCATTTTGTTTCTGCTCTCAATATAGATTGATCACTTGGACAAAAAAGGACAGTGCGCTTTGGTTCATAGCGCTCTCAGAGGCCATTCTGAAGTTCTGGAATATCTGCTTAACATGGACTGGATCACGTCTCCCCATCAGCAGAGTCCACTGGCAAAGCAACAGGCACTTCAGCAGGCTCTGACAGCCTCTTCAAGCATGGGGCACTGTCGGGTATGTTTGCTGGAACAGATAATTCCTCATAGACTGTTTATAAGTTCAGTGATTTATTCCGTTGCTATAAAAGATGCTACATTTTGCCTTTGAAATAAAGCTGTGTACTCTGAGCACATTTAGCACAATGTTAAACTATAGTTTAATGAAATGTATGTGAGCCATTTTAGAGTCACTCTGAAGTTTGTGGATTATTTGCACACCCAGTGTAGTTAGGGGGGACTCTAGCTGTCCCTAAATCATGTTACCTGGATTGTTACAAACTCTTAGTCACTTTCTGAAGCATGAAAGTAAGCAGTTTGTTATAAATAATAATTGCTGGCTTTAACAACTCAACAAGCCAAGATTCAGGGAAAGGGGAAGTAGACGCGTCCATAATCCTTCTCTTGGCCATGGGAAGCATGTAAGCCTGATGCTTGTGGCTGTTGTATCCTACTTCATCACATTACACCAAAACAAGGCTGGACAATATCTTGAGGTCAGGAGGGCACATGGCCACTCCTTAATCCATGGGGAGGCATGACCTTCTGCTGCCACACCACTGGAAAGGAATGATGTTGCCTTCAAGCAAGGCACAAAATGTTTATTGTTTGTGAGAGAGATGTTCTAGAGACTTCCAGGAGCACTGATTCACTACCAACCAAAATGAACGCTCTACATCTGCTTTGTTTTAATGTGCAAGCCTCCTGTGGCAATTTATTTATTTACTTATTTATTTAATGTCATTTGTAGGCTGCCTGATGAGGGGACTCAAGACAGCTCACAACATTACAACAAATGGAATTAAAAACACAATAGAATTATGCATTAAAAAGGAATTAAACCATAAAAATAATTAGAAATATATTAAAAGATTTAAAACTTTAAAAGCAATCTTACTAAGCTAAAAACCAGAAGGCAGGACTCAAATTATTAAAAACCTATCTGAAAAAGGGTCTTCAGCTGTTTGCATTTAAAGACCAAAATTGTGCTTTTTTTTCTTTTTCTTTTGCAAAAGTCCCAAATTTTGCTCAACCCTTTATTAAGCCACAGTTTAATAAAACTTGTAAACCAGTGCACTTGCTTCTTGGGAGTGTGTCTGTCTTGTTCAAAAAAAAAAGTGATTCTGCAGATTGATGGATTTAGGCCTAAGGAGAATGAACATCTCCTCAGACCTAAATCCATTTGCTAGTCCAAACTGGAATCAGACCCTGAATGGAATTGGCTGAATGGAGTTCGCATAAATGTTGATTTTACTATATGAGAGCTGGTGTTATTAAGGAAACATTTCAGTTTATTTGATCGTTTCTTAGGCCCTTTCCTAATCTCTCATATTCCTCTGTTAAAGCTTTGTTCTACCAGTTAAGCCACTATATTCCTGGCTAGTAGGAAAATTCTAGTATTGCAAGGCATTGGTGTGTGATGATGCCAACTTGCTTCATGGGGTTTTCTGCTTCACATGCTCCAGACAGGATGCTACTGTTGCTGTTATATTGCTGGTACTTGATTGGCATTGAGCTCTGTATGAAAAGATGAAAAATTACAGTAGGATTTCTGTCTCCTCAGTGTAGCTGTAAACAGTTTTATACTCATAATAGAATACATAAAGATGGTTTATTTCTGGAAATCACATTTGTACTATTCCTATCTGCCAGCTAGGACTGCAGAAGGTCTGCTAATGTATTTACTGTGTATGTAATAAACCCAGGCTTACAAACATTTTACCCTGTGGCCTAATATTCTGTAACTATTCTTGAACAAAATTATTGAATTCTGCACTGTGTGCTTATATAAGGACAATTTGGTGTTCCCTGTATAAATGGAAGGTTCCTCCTGGTCTAAAGGTAAATTCTTTCAGCTTTCCCTCTACTTAAAAATATTTTCTTGATGGTATAATCATATTTATGTTGTGAATATTTCATTAAAATATGAAAACATGTATCCATTAATAAATTTGTGTTAATTAACTCTTGCCTTGAATGAAGCAGAAAATTACTTTATATTTTTAAAAAGGTACTGGAGTTAATGGATTCTGTGCAATCTTAACTACATGTTTAAAATATTACTACATATTTAAATATTTAGTCATCTTTGCCATCAAGACGTAACATGCATAAAATTATGGTCCTCTTTCCCATTTATGTTGAATTGAATTTGGAAACTAAAAAGCAATCTAAATGAAAATAACACAGTATGATTTTAAGGATTTTTTAAAAAATCGCCATGACCTTTAGGCCAAAATCCTTTTACTTAGAATAGTAAATTGCACTGAAGTAAGTCCACTGTATCAATGGGGATTTGGTCAGTCAACTCCTCCATTGATCCAAACAAGCCTGGCCTGAGTGCCACGGGGATTTGGTCAGTCAACTCCTCCATAAGATCCATTGATCCAAACGAGCCTGGCCTGAGTGCCAGTTACTATGCTAACAGCAGGCACTTGAAGAAACCCTTTCCAGAAAGACGACATCTGAAGGGAGGGGCGGAATCTGGGCATCTTCCATGGAATTCCTTGCATGCTGCAAAATGATTCTGGACCACGTTCGAAGTTCCCTCCAGTTTCGGACTAAAATGTTGGGCTACAAGTATCATAAATGTCAACATTCTGTGTGGTCAGGTCTTATGGGGATTGTAGTGTAAAACATTTGGAGAATGCCATGTTGCATGTTCCTTTTCTCTGTCACCCTTAGGAATGGAAAATGTACTTTAGAAAGAAAGACCTTGGCCCCTGTAGCTGCACATTACAAGGGGAAAAATTGTATTCACAAAGGCTTTCATGCCTGGGAAAAAAATTACTGGTAATCATGGGCATGTGTTATATGAGGCAGCCTATCAGGTGCTCCTTGTCCAGAACAGTTAAGGAAACTTAATTTTAATGCTGGACTTGTCTGTTGAATGTCTGAAAGTGAAGTGCAGAACATCTTCTCTACAATGCCTCTTCTATGCTAAATGATGCTAAGGACTTCTGAGTAGTTTTTGCTATGTGGTGTGCCATTCATCATTAATGAAATACTAAATTAAGTCCGTGACTTGTTTTGCTTTCAGTTAGCAACTAACTAATATTTCCCTTGTCTTGTCAGGTGGTTCATTTTCTGGTAAGGATTGAAAAGGACCCTAAAATTGACATCAATGAAACTGACACACTGTGGGGAGAAACAGGTATATACACGTGATGTTCTTATTCTTTCTTCCCAGACAATAAAAAATTAATCAGGTAGGATTGATAAATAAACCCATTGGTAAGAGAGCTATAAAGGTAAAGGTTCCCCTTGACAAATTGTCCAGTCGTGGCCGACTCTAGGGCGCGGTGCTCATCCCTGTCTCCAAGCTGTAAATCCAGTGTTTGTCCGAAGACAGTTTCTATGATCACTGGCCAGCGCGACTAGACATGGAACACCATGACCTTCCCACCGAGGTGGTCCCTATTTATCTACTCGCATTTTTACATGCTTTTGAACTGCTTGGTTGGCAGGAGCTGGGACAAGCGACGGGAGCTCACTCCGTTGCGTGGATTCGATCTTACGAGTGCTGGTCTTCTGACCTTGCAGCACAGAGGCTTCTGTGGTTTACCCTGCAGCGCCACCACGTCCCTTAAAAGAGCTATAGCTGTTAACATAACTTTGAAGTGTTAATTAGAAGTCATCACTATTTATTATTGTTGAATTGTTGCATTTCTGTACTTCCTTTCCTTTGATGAGCTCAAGTTGGCCTCCATGGCTCTCCTTTCCCCTACTGTGTCTCCTTGACAGGGGCTGGACTCAGTGATCCATAGGGTCCCTTCCAGCTCTGCAGTTCTAAGCTGATGATAACCACATGCAGATTTTCGCAAGTTTTAACACTCAGTATCGATTTACCTAAGTTTGCTTGCACCTGATGGCTCCTGTCATCGTCATAGCTGAGTGTTCAAACATGTGGCTTGTGTTTGGCCATGTATGTTTCTGAGGTATTTTAATCTTAGGTCAAAATTGCAGAATAAACTTTTTCTCTGTAACAAAGTTTAGTCCCTGGCACCAGTTTCAGACCCTGTCATCTCCAGTTAAGGCTAGAAGATCCCATCTGAGAACTGGGGAGCCATTGCCCATGTGCTTATTACTGGCCCAGGTGGTCTGATGGCCAGTGAGGAAATTTCACATCGTCAGAAAGTGTGTCATGAAATTCTTTACAATATTTGTGAGAGAAGACATCTATAGGCACAAATATAGCACCCATGAAACAATTACTATTGAAATACCACATCAGGTACAACAAGATGTTTTGGCCAGCTTATCGTATTACATTGTGTAACAGCAACTCCCAACTATTGTGTTTATCCTGTCTTCAAACATTTCCTCTCCTTCACCCCACTTCCCTCAGCATTCTTGGTAACAGACCAAAGATCTGCCAAAGATTATTACATTTTTTCCCTCAGCCTAATGGGTTGCTCTCATATTTTCCATTTTGCATTAGTTACATGTTTAGCTCTTCATTTTAATTTCAAGTCTGGGGTGGGCCACGCTGGTTTGGAGTGCATTACACAGATTAGAGGTGAGCTTTCCCCTCCAGAATAGTCAGCATTCCTCCACATAGTTTTCTTGAGGATCTTATTTGTTTAAGCCCACTGTGAAGCTGTTCTTAGTCCTGCTTATTTCCGTATATGGTATGCTTGAGACACATTGTTTTGCTATTTTAAATGACCCCATGAGCCCGGAAGCAGTGAGTGATAATGAGATACGAGACTGGTCTATGTTGGTTTTATGTCACAATGGCCAGTCTTGATCTTACATTACCAATAGCTATAAATTTAAGATTTAAAAAAACAAACGAACTGTCAGCTTGTTCAGGTCTAAATTAGTGACAGGGTCCTAGAATATTTTGAGTTAATTGTGTCAATTGCTGTCTTAGAAACAAAAACTACTTCCTGTTTAAAAAGTACTTGGATTTCATAAAGAGAATACAGGTACATTGGAGATCTAACTACTACCTACTTTTAAACATCATTATATATTTCTAAATGTATTGTCTATTTTGTGTTTATTTTGAATCTTTAGTTATGTTGTGTTGTCTGATGATGCTGCTGCTGATGCTGATGATGATGATGATGATGATGATGATGATGCAAACCGCCCAGAGGGGCCTTTGGCCAGATGGGCAGTATAAAAATAATAAACAAGCAAGCAAATAAATAAATAAATCCAGCTCATGTTGGCTGAGTGTCCTTTTAAAAACTGCAGGTGGTTCCAGGAGCATTTTGGAACTCTACAGTCTGTATCTTACATCAGAAAATGTAGACACTCTCCCTTGTATGCCATTTTTTGTGCAACATAAAGACTTACTAATTGATTATTGCATCAATTAATCTCTGCAGGAAAAAGTAATATATAGAACACTGTTTCCTTAATGCCTTCTCTCATTTTATTGCTCTTAAAATCTAGTAAGTTAAAAACCTTCATTTCTCTTTAGCTTTGACTGCTGCTGCTGGGAGAGGAAAACTGGATGCCTGTGAGCTGTTACTTGGACATGGTGCTGTAGTAACAAAAACAAATAGGAGAGGGATACCTCCACTTTTCTGTGCTGTGCGTCAGGGCCATTGGCAGGTGAGACAAATCTTTTTGAATAAAATGACCAGATCCAGCTTAGTTTTTAAAATAAGGAAATTCTGTATCATAGGATCATAGAACAGCAGAAGTGGAGGGAAATGCTGTGGTCCAGACCCTTCCTGCATTACAGACAAGTGTTCTTGTACTGCAGTTCCCAGAAGCCTTCGCCATGAACAGTGCTGGTTGGAGTTTCTGTGAGTTGCAGTCTAGGAACACCTGGGTTACCCATAGTTGGGAACGACTGCTGTATTAGATGGCAGCAGACATTTATAACTGTGCTTTGACAAAATGATTAAGCCTAAGACATTTGACATGGGCCACAACTATGTACCTAGGGGGGGAAATGGGTGGAATGTGAAGCACCTTTCATCACTTCACATGACACAAGCCTTATTGTGGTTTAAAAGACCACTGAAAGTACACCATTTCAAAGTGCAGTAAGGCTTCCTCTGTGGCCAGCCTCACCTGGACAACAGTGGCCAGGAGTATAGTGGCAGTGGTGGCAGCAGGGTCTTGAGTGGCTGGGGAGACCTGCCACTGCTGCTGCCAACTTGCTCTTGAAGTGGTCAGACAGGCAAGAGTGCTTCTCTAGTGAGATGCTAAATGGCAGCAGAAGCGTCTTCAATGGCTAGGATGACACAAACACTCAACCACCACTGGTGCCATCGTGTTCCTTGCCTCTCGCTGCCACCACCCAGCAACTTGAAATGCATGCATTAAAAAAAAGTTGTGTGTTTCAAGTGGTTTTGCTCCTGTTTGCAGATTACCTGAAAGAAAAAAGTTCCCTGTGGGTTACCTGCAGATGTGTAGTTCTTGCCACAGAAAGCACAACTGTGTTTACTGCTCTTATGTGCATGAAACTGGTCATTGCACTCTTCAATGGCACCTTGGCTCTGGAAACCTTCATTTCCAGTTTTCATTAGCCACAAGTATATGTTCAGAGATAATGCTAAGGTGCAGTTATAGTAA